AAATAAGCAGTGTTCCCTAGATTGACTTTTATGAACATATTTCATAACCTGTAGAAATACAGGTTTTTAAAATTGACAAATACACTTGTTTTCAAGAGACACGTCTCTAACAAAGACATTTATTAATAAGACACTTATTAACAGCTCCAAATTCACTTCACAGCCTTTTCGCAACAAAGGCCAAAAGCGACTTGACCTAAGGCTTGTCTAGCAATCAGTGTTTTAGCATTTAAAAATATTGAGCTATTCAATAACTTTAATCAAAACTCACTAATTTAATAGTGGTGGAAATGGGAGGGAGGTGGGGAGCACTGGGGGAGTGGGCTGGTTTGGGAGTAAAAGACAGAAAACTGTACTTGAACAATAATTAAAGAAAAAAGAAAACAAACTCACTAATTTAGAAAGAAATAGCTGAAATTAATAGATTTGATTAGATATATTAAGGGGTTTTTTTTAGTATTTTTATAAGATTTATCTTCTAAAAAATTTGCACATTAAAAGATAGTCCAGATTGAGAAATTGTATTTTAAGAGACTTGAGACCACGTATTTGTATTTCAAAGACACTTCAGTTTTAGGGTTTAGAATGTGGTGTTGGCATTTATTAGTCTCAGAGCCTTCTTTAGTTTAGAGACAGTCTTTAAATTTTTTAATTAACTTTAAAAAATGTTCTTGTGCTTTTTTAGAAGCTTTTAATTTCCAAATCAATATATGCTTTCATTTATTAGACGTGACCAAAAGAGAAACAAGAACAATATTTAAAGCAAAGACATTCAAGGAGGGCTTATTTCCTCATTTTTCTTTTTAACTTAAGTTTATCCTCTAACTGTCATACTTCTGCTTCATCTGATTTTTCCTTTTTTTTTGCATAGGTCCTCTGCAGGGCCCAGAACTTTGAGGGCATCCCACCAATACTGGTACACAACTCTGGGTTTATCCCTGCCATTATTCATTTTCAGGATTTCCCGCAAATTTTCTGCCCAGCAAGTTGTTGTCCACAGTTGACTTAACTGGGGGATTTTTCAGGGTTTCCAAATCCTGCCAACTACACTAGTTGTAACACAGGTAGTCGAGTCTGTGGGTATCAACTATTGGTTCAGATAAGCTCAAAAATTCAAGAGGAGGATTGGGTAGAGTAGACATTGCCTTTATTATTTACATTACAGTGAACTTCAGCAGTAGTAGGTTGGCAAGCAGGACCACACACCCCCCATGTCTCTTTTAAGGGGTCCCAGACAAAGGAGGCACTCATCCTGCTAAACTACATTACCTGAGTGTAAAGAAAAAGTCAAGAAGCAGTCACAGGACAGAAAGCTACTCCCAAAGGTGATGAGGAAGTTACAATCCATTTTTGAAACAATACACATTCCTTCTGGCTAGGGGCCCCCTGATCAGCCCTCAGCCATGGGAAGGGAAAGGGCCATGTCTATTGACTCCACAGTTGGTTAGAGCCTTGTCTTGATAAGCCAAGGTTTCAAGTTCAATTGTGGGCTAGGTTATACACAAGAATCAACCAATGAATGTATAAATAAGTGGAACAACAAATAGATGTGCCCCTCTTTCCTTCCCCCTCTCTCCCCTTCCACTTTCCTTTCTTCCCTCCTTCTGTCTCTCTCAAAAATCATTAAATTATTATTTTTTAAAGTATATGCCTGAATATAAAAAAAGATCCTTTAGAAATAAGGACTTACCATTTATTTGAATTTTTTACAAAGTTTCATATTGTGGAGGGATTTCTTAACTCTTTTTGAAACAGTAAGTTTGTTTTGGAAGAGAGTCCTTGCATTCATCCAAAACTTGCTGGATATGCTAACAGTGTGAGGTCCCAACCACCTTTTTACCCAGGCCATTTCTCTGGGATGTCTGCAGTGAGGTGATATCCTCCTCTCAGGACAAAAAGCAGGCCTTCTTATTGCCTGTTACAAAACTGGTGCATTCCCATGTTCTTTGTAACACACCTACTGTGTAGTCCTTTTGAAGGCATCCCCCTGAGATTTATTGGGAAGGAGACTTGCTGCAAACATGCTGAGGCTTGCTGCTTGCTTTGTCTCTGACCCAGGAGTCTGTATCTTCTGCCAGCATTCATGAACCAAGAACAGGTTAACTTAGTAGCTTGTAATCAAATCTCAGATCCAAGAGACCATTAGACTGAAACAGTCTCAGTAAATGAAAGTTTAGGAAGCTTATAGAGCTGACCTTACCTAATCAATTGAAATTCAAGGCAAAGAAATATAGTACATACTAGGAATTCTTCTTGGAGATAGACCTCATATTTACAAGTTTGGATGTCAGTATAATTCAAGTCTTTTAGATATCACTAAAACGCAATATAATAAGTAGTCTGGAAATCACGAAATATGTCTAAGGACTAATGAAGTAAATAGCTGTCCATATAGTAAGAATGTGTTTTGTGAGAAACCACCACTGTCTTCCAGAGTGGGTGTACCATTTTGTATTCTCACCAGTAGTGAATGAGTGTTTCTATTGCTCCACATCCTCATCAGCTCTTTGTGTTGTCAGTGTCCGGATTTTAGCAATTCTGATAGGTGTGTAGTATCTCATTGATGGTTTAGTTTCCATTTCTCTTATGACATGCGATGGATGTCCTTATTTGGAATTTTTGTATTTCTTTGGTGAGATGCCTGTTAAAGTCTTTGGCCCCCCTTTTTCTTTTTTCTTTTTCTTTTTTTTTTTTTACAATTTTTCACATTAAATTTTTATTGCATTTGGAGAAGTAAAAATACAGTATAGGAAATAATAGTCAATATTGTAACCACTGTGGTAACAGATGGGTACTTGAAATATCTGGGGGATCACTTTGTATAAAGATTATGATTAGCCTTTTTTTTTACTGTTGAGTTTTAAGGGTGTTTTGTATATTTTGGATAACAGTCCTTTTACAAATATTTTTTAGTCTGTAGCTTTCCTTACTCTTGATACTGTCTTTTGCAGAACAGAATTTTTTAAAATTTTCATGGAGTCCACCTTATTAATTTTTCTTTAATGTCTTATCTTTGCTGATATATATAAAAAGTTATCTCCATTATTAAAGTCTTTCAGGTTTTCTCATGTTAGAGGTGTTTTACAGTTTTCTGTGTTTTATATTTAGGTCTGTGATCCATTTTGAGTTAATTTTTGTGACAGTCATAAAGGCTGAGTCTAGATTTGTTTTTTTGCACATGGATGTCCAGTTGTTCCAGCACCATTTGTTGGAAAGACTATCTAATCTCTACAGCTCCAGGAGCTGCCTTTGCTCCTTTGTCAAAGATTAGTTATATTTATGTGGGTCTATATATGACTTCTCTGTTCTTTCATTGATCTGTCTGTTTTTTCGGTATCACACTGTCTTGATTACTGTAGCTTTATAGTGAGTCTTGAGCTCAAGTAGTGTTAATACTCTTAACTTTGTTCTTCAGTATTATTGGCTATCCTGTCTTTTGCCTTTCCCTATGAACTTTAAACTTGGTTGTGCGAGAAGGTGCAGTGCTTCCACCTACTCCTCCATCTTGGCGGAAGTCCAGCCTTTCCATATGAACTTTAGTAAGTTTCCATATGAAAATCCACAGTTTCCATATCAATCCACAAAATAACTTGCTGGTAATTTTATTGGGTTGGCACTGCATTTATAGATCAAGTTGTAAACAACTGACAGCCCAACAATATTGAGCCTTCCACTATCTATAGACATTAGTAATTTTTAAAAAATATTTTATTTATTTATCTTTAGAGGGGAAGGGAAGGAGAGAGGGAGAAAAATACCTATGTATGGTTGCCTCTTGTGTGTCCCCTGCTGGGGACTGGCCTGCAACCCAGGCATGTGCCCTGACTGGGAATTGAACCATGATCCTTTGGTTCACAGGCCCACACTCAACCCACTGAGCTACACCAGCCAGCGCAGTAATTTTTACTAGAAGGCAGAGATAAGCTGAAAAGTTGGTCACTTATAAATAGCTGTAGCAAGAGGTCTGATATAAAGTTGAAACCGGACTGATGAAAGGCTGAAAATCTGTTGTTTTTTTTCCCTATTTTCTTCTTTCCCTCATTTCCATGGATGATTAAGATGTTTTTATAGCCTTAAAGAGTTAAAAGATTTATATATATGTATATATATGTATGTATTTATATATGTGTATATTTTTAAATATGATCTTACTGTTTTATTTATTTTATTTTTTTATTTGTTTATCTCTAGAAGGGAAGAGAAGGAGAGAAATATCAATGTATAGTTGCTTCTGGTGCATCCCCTACTGGGAACTGGCCCCTGCTGGGAACTGGCCTGCAACCCAGGCATGTGCCCTGACAGGGAATCGAACCGAGATCTTTTGGTTCACAGGCCCGTGCTCAGTCCACTGAGCTATACCAGCCAGGGCTAAAAGATTATATTTTTAAATCTCACTTTGGAAATTTTATTTAAACTGACAAAATACTATAAGTCTTAATTTCCTGAGTTTCTCCAAAGAGATCTGTAACAAAACACTCATAATAGAAGATCACAGAATCCGAGTACAAATATTATTAATACGTATTGGTTCCCAAGCAAACACAAGATGCTGATAGAATTTGATCTTAATGGATGGTATTTCAACCTTTTGTAATTCATTTAACTTGAGTCATGTATATACACAATTGTATCTTATTATGATTGTCTACTATCGGGTTATGTATTTTCAGGTAATAAAGAACATTTCTGTTCTTTGTAACACGTGTTATCATATTTCTAGAAAAAGCATTTGGATGCTTTTTGTCATTTTGTCTCAGATAAAAACTTACTTTTTAAAAATAATGGTATTATATAAATTAGCCTTTTTAGTATCTAGAAACGCTCCATTTACCAATGTAATGGCATGCATACAGAGTAGTTTATAATTACAACTACTGTTCATGGAAGGTGGTCCTATTTCCGCATGTGCAAATTCTTATGCTATTTCTTCTATAAGAATTTTGCATTCACACTTGTGCATTTCTGGTTTGGCATACTTTAATTTTTTTCTTTTTTAACAGTTTTTACCCACCTGTTGATGAGCCAGCCATTGGAAGTAAAAATATTGATCTGTCAGAACGGCAGGAAAGAAAACAAATCTTCAAAGGGAAAACATTTATATTTCTAAATGCCAAGCAGGTAATGTTCTAAGCTAAATTTTCTTAAAGAAAACATTACACACTAGGACAGATTACTACTGTTTTCAATAATTGTTAATGCATTTTTTTTGAGATTTTCTGTAGAGGTTTGACATAGAATAAAAAACTGCCAGGTACTAATGCCTGCCCTTTATATTATATAATCATATACATAGATATTATAATATTCCTTAACATCTGTCAGTTGGCCTAGTGAGTTTATATAAATGTGCAAGTTGGCAGAGGAAGGGACTGGTTTAAGTTCTAACTTTCTGGTTTAGTAAACAGGTGTTGAATGTCTTTCCTGTTCTGAAGTGGGGTTTCCAGGAGTTTCTGTCACAGGTGGGAAACTTTGCCAGTTGGCTCTCCAGACAGTATGATGTTCCGGGGCTGTGGAGGTACCTGTGAAGCAGGGATTTTCTCAGAATGGAGGTTCAGATTGTCCTCTCAAGAAGCAGGACCAATTCCATGTCAATTTTTTATTTTACTGTCAAATCAAATTCTTACAATTTTTAGATTGTACTAAATAAATTAATTGTGGCTATTTTATTACTTTTTTCTTTTTACCGTTTTCAGCATAAAAAATTAAGTTCAGCAGTTGTTTTTGGAGGAGGAGATGCTAAGTTGATTACAGAAGAAAATGAAGAAGAATGTTTCTTTTTGGCTCCTGGAACTTGTGTTGTTGATGTAGGAATAACAAATTCACAGACCTTAATTTCTGACTCTCAGAAAAAATGGATTCATTCAATTATAGATATGCTCCAAAGGTACTTTATTATTCTTTATTAGTAAAAAGAAATATGCAAATAGGTAGTTTTATAGGTGACTTCTGTTGTACTCTACATAACAATGGAAAAATAAATACAATAATTATTACAAAGATTTTATTATGTATGGTACTTGTACTTTGTTTAAGGAATCTTTTTCTATTCATAGGTCGTATTATTCACCTATATTTGTTACTAGTATTTTGATATTTTATTTTGAAATTTGTTTTTAATCTACCTGGAATGGATTCTGTTTATACTATAGGTCAACGATGCATGGGCACAGTTTGGCTCTATCCTCCTTCACTGATCAACACCACGTTAACATCCTCACATCCAGCAGAACAAGATTTCTGTTCTGCTCTTCTTCAGAAGCTGCCTCGCTATTCTTGGCTCTTTATTTTTCTAGATGCATTTTAGAGTCATTTTTCTCAGAAACCTTGTTGGGAATTGGCTTAGGAATTTCACTAAATCTACAAATCAATTTGAGGAGCATTAACAATTTTTCTAATTTCTCTATAGAGATCTTAAATACCTTTTTTAGGTGTTCCTAGATACTACGTATTTTCTGGTAGATATTATATACGTGGTATGTGTAATATAAATATATGCTACTTTTTAAAATATATTTTCTAATTGTTCATTGTTGATGGATAGGAATTCAGCTGAAATTTAGATACTGTTCTTATATCCCGCCACCTTGCTGGGCTCCCCTTGTAATTCTAGTAGTTAATTGATAGTCTTTTTTTTTGTATAAATCATATCTGTAAATAATGACATTTCTATTCTATTTTTAATCCTTATGCTTCTGATTCTTCCTTCTTTCTCTATGTTGTATGCTTACTGGGATCTCCAGAGCAGTGTTGAAAGAGAGTGCTGATAGTAGTCACATATGTTTACACTGTTTGCCCATCTAAGATGACAAAATGTCTGTATAACATTGTTGTTAAATACATATTTAAAATGTTTCAATTTTATTTTATACAGCCAATCTTTATAACTAATTTACATGGTAATATTTTCAAAAACATTAGTAGGATAGTGTTTCAAAAACAGTAGTATATCAACATTGATAGATTCAATATCAATTTTAAATTGCCTTAATTATAAGTAGGTATATGTGGTCACTTATTTATAATACTTTGTAAAATCTCCTTTTTCAGTATAATATAATCATACATACAGTTGAACTCGAAGTTAACCTAGTCAATACATTCAAAAACAAATGTTATAGACCTTTAAACTACTGTAGCCACTTACAGTATTTTATAATGAGTATTAAAAAAGAGTTTTGTAGTTCTTAAAATTTGAGGTATAGTTTCTATAGAGCATTATATTGAATTATTTTTGTTTTATAAATTCAGTCATTAACCACATTATAGAATAACAGAAGATAGATTCACCATAAGATTCCTTAACACATGTAAATATGGTAAAATGATCACTAAACTTTAAATCATAACATATAGATTCAGCTTATATATATTTTTTGTACTTCCCTCCCTCCTCCTTCTCCCAGCTTCTTCTTTCTCTCTTCTAAATTATCTCATAGGATTTTAGTAACCATATGTTCGTTTGTAAAAAATCGTTATTGCTTCATGTGGGTATTGTTTCCTTTTTATTCACAAAATTACAGAATTTTTAAATTGAAGGATCTGTATCCTTTACTCTAGACTTATATAGATGAAATAACTGAGTTAGTAAAACATGGTAGACTTGCTCAGTGTAACATTGCTCATTGAGTAAGCCAGCACCCTATATTTGAAATTCTCTCCATACCATAAAATTATACCTCTTGGGAGTATGGGTGGGGAGACAGATTCAGCTTGACATCATCTTAATAAATTTGTTAGTTGAAATATATTGTCATACTTAAAGCATTTTATTCTTTTAGCCAAGGTCTTAGACCTATTCCTGAAGCAGAAATTGGATTCGCAGTTATTTTCATGACTACAGAGAATTACTGTAATCCTCGGGGCCAGCCCAATACAGGTAATTAAAGCATTATTTTACTGAATCTTTAGCAACTTTATTTATTATGTAAATTGATAAATAGGCTGTATGCACACTATTGTATACTTGCTGGGGGTGATCATTTTCAACATCTTTTAAAACTCACCTTTTCCATTCGGTCACTTACTCATTTAATAAATATTTGTGTCTGCTGCATACTGGGCACTATTCTAAGTCCTGAAGATTCAGTAGTGAACAAAGTAAACTAGTTACCTGTTATTGTGAACTCTATATTCTAAATGTCAAGATTCAGACTGTTAACAGGCAAGCAGACAGACACTTCTGATAAGTTCTTTTAGGGCCAAGTACAAAGATGAAGCTAAAACACGGTGAGACAGTAGTGATTTGGAGTGGACTGTTGTAGGTGGTGGTCAGGAGGGTCTCACTGAGGATGTAACATTGGGGACTCAGGCCTTCTGCATACGGGAAAAGGCCACTGGGGGAGATCTAGGGAGAAGAGTGCTAGGGAGAAGGACCTGATCACAATGGCATCTGCATGGGGAATGGATTCCAGGATCCAGAATGGGAGTGGGGATATGAGTGGAAAGCTCTCATGGAGGTCCAGGTGGGAGTGCCAGGGGCCTTAGACTGTGGTGGCAGCCGTGGAAAAGCAGAAGTACAGACTCAGGGCATATTTTGGAAACAGCTTGTAGTTTTTGGTATAAGTCACTGGTTGCTGGTGTTGCTGTTACTGAGATGAGAGATGCAGACTGTAGTCAGCTCAGTGTTGACTCTCATAGCTGGTATACTGGGAGGCAGCAGCACTTGCCCCTTTGTTATTTAAAATACATTCCTCTGCTTTTGAAAATAAGCTGATGTTGCCATCATGATGATTTATTTATTCTTTTCTGCTTGCTTTTGTACCCTAGATATTTTTATGTTTTTTTCTCCCTAGGAACTCTGTCTTCTTTACCTGCCTATGAGAGCATCCATTCTGTATTGCTGTATACATTTATTTTTCTATAGTTACTTGTTAGCAATTATTGGACTTGGCTAAAGAAGACAGCACTACCTCATCGTGCACCCAGGGGTATTGTTCACATTGTGGTGCACTGAATGGCCACCTGTGGAGTTGAACAGTATCCCTCCTGAGTGGCTATAATCTGCTACCTGGCTCAGACAGGTTAGGAATTTGCTAAACTAGATTTTGGAAGGAGTGAGCCATTAGAGCAGGGGTGTCAAACTCATTTTTACCGGGGCCCACATCAACCTCGCAGTTGCCTTCAAAGGGCCAAAATAATTTTAGGATTGTATAAATATAATTACTCCTTAACTGTTAAGGAGTTGAAATTACATTCGGCCCTTTGAAAGCAACCATGAAGCTGATATGGTCCCTAGTGAAAATGAGTTGACACCCCTGCATTAGAGTCTAATGACCAGGAATTGCTTAGGTGTATAGGTCATTACTAGTAATGTTTAGTAATAGTGATGGCTGTCTCTTGAGTTTGCAGACACTGAAGCAAGCGATTTACATACATCATCAAAATTTGGCCTGCACAATGATTCTTTAAGATAGATGACATCATCTGCATTTTATAGATTAGGGAACTGATGTACAAAGAGGTTAAGAAATTAGCCAGAGGTCACATAGCAAATCATTTGATTCAAACTAACTCTTTAGTGCAGATGGCAGATACTTCGTGAAGTTTTGAGAAATAGTGTTGGGTGATGGGAAGTAATTCTGAAAGGATAGATGTCTGAAGAAATTTGATAGGCTAGTATTTTACTATGGATAAGAATGCTTATTCTCCTGATATCTCTGCCCTTCACATTGAGCACACTAGATATAATTTTCTGTCCGTATGTAGCTAACCTTCAGCTGAAAAGTTCTAAATGCTTGTGAAGTTTTCAGTACGTCCAAATCACTTATCTTGCTGGAATAGTGCTATGTTGAGTATTTCCCCAAAATTTATGACTAACATTCCCAGAATACGTCCTTAGAGTCAAAGCTAAAGACAACTTCTCAGCCTCTTAGAAGTGCTGCAGTGTGGATACCAGAGTCTTTTTAGAGAAGCTGTACTACCTCAGAAATAGCATATGCTATAGGTGTTGTTTTATTGACAATGATTTCTGTTCTGTTATAGAAAAAAAAAAAACCCTGTCAATAATTTCAGGCTTTTGACAACAACACAAAACATGTTAAAAACAGTCCTGGCTGGTGGTGTGGTTTAGTGGATTGAGTGCCAGCCTGCAAACCAAAGGGTCACTGCTTCCATTCCAAGTCTAGGTCACATGCCTGGGTTGCTGGCCAGGTTCCCCAGTAGGGGGTATGCAAGAGGCAACCACACATTGATGCTTCTCTCCCTCTCTTTCTCCTGTTCTTCTCCTGTCTCTAAAAATAAATAAGTAAAATCTTTAAAAAAGTGTTAAAACAAACAGAATGGTGTTATCTACATAGCTCCACCTATCCCAGCCCCTATTTGGGACAACTGTCCTCTGTCTTTTAGAAAACTAGTTGTCATCTACATAAATTTTTCAGAAATACTTTTTAATGCAAATTCACATTCTCCATAATTCAAGATATTCCGGGATATGGCCAGGGCATCTTTTTTGTTGTTGTGGTAGTGGTAGCAGTTTGTTTGTTTTGATTGATTTTATGCTCCTGTTTCTCATACAAGTGCCAAAAACCACTGGGCTAGAATATCTAGGGAAGAACTAACTACAGAGGAGCCTTCTTATATGTAAATGGAAGAGCTGCTCCTACTACAGGCTTCAGTTATCCCTCATTCTCACAAGATCTGAAGTTCTTCCTCTGCAGCTGCTGCTCTAGAGACCTGTTTCCATCCCTGCCCACAGTCGCTGCCCTGTGAGAAACCTGTATGTCTGTCTGTCTTGAGGGCCCTTCAGTGCTACCAGTAGAGGGTCCTGCCTCCGTACTCATTGGAATAGTTGACATTTCACTCTCCCACTGCAATCACCTTCCCTTTAAAACTTTTAATCCTCATTATCAGTAGACTAAATCCCTAACTCTCTGTCTAGACTTCTGATCCCTCAAAAGTTTAGCTTTAGCTTGTTTCTCCTCATCCTCACCTTCTTTTAAAAAACACGTCATTACAGAATATACTTGCTGTATTGTTTACAGTCATCATCCTCCTTGACCTTGCTAATCATGGTCCTAGAATGCCAGCACTGCTGTTCCAAATTTGATTCACTCCACAGATGCTCCATCTCCTTCATGGAGTTTTTCTGAGTTGTTTTCTCTACCATAATTCTCCTCCAGGTCAGAATTAATTACTCTTTTCTATACCCCAGTAACTTTTGTTTGCATTCCAGTTAGATTTTCTTTCTACTTTGAAATATAACTGGCTGTTTTATGCCTCTTTCAGTTTCTGGATTGATTGTAAGCTCTTGTTAATTTTCTCTGATAGCACCAAGCGCATCACTTGTTTGTAGGGGATATGAATATCAATTGAACTAGGTTATTCGTCCATCAGATTATCTCTGCCAGTGTGGAGCAACAACATTTTATCATCCACGTTTACTTATTTATTTATTTGTTTAATTAATTTATTTATTTTTAAAATTATTTTTCAACTACAGTATTCTTTCTTTTACTCCCTTCCCAGCCCACCCCCCATGCCCCCTACCTCCCTTCCATTTCCACCCCCCCTTAGTATTTGTCCATGTGTCCTTCATGCTAGTTCCTGTAAATCCTTCCTTTCTTTCCCCTGAAATTCCCTCCCCTCTCCCCTCCGGTTCCTGTCCCCTGTTCTCGATTTCAGTGTCTTTGTTTTTATTCTGCTTGCTTGTTTGTTTTGTTGTTTAGCTTTCTGTTAACAGTGAGATCATATTGTATTTGTCTTTCACTGCCTGGCTTATTTCACTCAGCATAATGCTTTCCAGTTCCATCCAAACTGTTGCAAAGGGTAGGAGCTCCTTTCTGCTATATAGAATTCCATTGTGTATATGTACCATAATTTTTTGATCCATTCATTTACTGATGGGCACCTAGGTTGCTTCCAGCTCTTGGCTATTGTAAATTGTGCTGCTATGAACATTGGGGTGCATAGGTTCTTTTGGATTGGTATTTTAGGATTCTTAGGATATAGTCCCAACACTGAAATTGCTAGGTCATAAGGCAGGTCCATTTTTAGTTTTTTTAGAAAATTCCATACTGTTTTCCATAATGGTTGTACCAGTCTGCATTCCCACCAACAGTGAACTACGGACCCCTTTTCCCCACAACCTCTCCAACATTTGTTGTTTGTTGCTTTGTTTATGATAGCCATTCTGACTAGTGTAAGGTGGTATCTCATTGTGGTTTTAATTTGCATCTCCCTGATGGCTACGATATTGAGCATCTCTTCATGTGTCTCTGGATCCTCTGTATGTCCTCCTTGGAGAAGTGTCTGTTCAAGTCCTTTTCCCATTTTTTAATTGGGTTATTTGTCTTCTTAGAGTGGATTTGTGTAAGTTCGTTGTATATTTCGGAGATTAAACCCTTGTCCGAGGTATCATTGGCAAATATGTTTTCCCATACAGTTGGTTGTCTTTTTATTTTAATACTATTTTCTTTAGTTATGCAGAAGATTTTTATTTTGATGAGATCCCATTTGTTTATTCTTTCCTTTATCTCCCTTGCTCTAGGGGACATATCAGTAAAAAACTTGCTGTGTGAAATATCTGAGATTTTCTTGCCAATGTTTTCCTCTAGGATTTTAATGGTTTCATGGCTTATATTTAAGTCTTTTATCTACCTTGAATTTATTTTGGTGTATGGTGTAAGTCGGTGCTCAAGTTTCATTTTTTTGCACGTAACTGTCCAGTTCTCCCAACACCATTTGTTGAAGAGGGTATTTTTAGTCCATTTTATGTTACTGTCCCCTTTGTCAAATATTAAGTGACTGTAGAGAGTTGGGTTTATTTCTGGGCTCTCCATTCTGTTCCATTGGTCTATGTGCCTGTTTTTATGCCAGTACCATGCTGTTTTGATTACAGTGGCCTTGTAATACAATTTGATATCAGGTATTGTGATTCCTCCTACTTTGTTGTTTCTCAAAATAGCAGCTGCTATTCGGGCTCATTTATGGTTCCATATCAATTTTTGAAGTGTTTGTTCTATGTCTGTGAAATATGCCATTGGTACTTTAATAGGTATTGCATTGAGTCTGTAAATTGCTTTGAGTAGTAAGAAAAGAAGAGAGAGAGAGGTATCATTGGCAATTATGTTTTCTCACTTGTTTTCTTCTTTTCTTGATGAGCCTACTTAAAGGCTTGTCTACTTTGTTCATCTTTTCAAAGAACCAACTCCTGGATTCATTGATCCTTAGAATTGTGCTTTTAGTCTCTATGGGGGCAACCTCTTTCCCGAGGTCCCCCCGGTGCCACGGACACGTGTGAATGAGTAAATAGGGCCGAGACATGCTGGATCTGTTTGGGGATGGAGGCATGGGCTCTGGCCAGTTTCTCTGGGGAGAAAGAGGCCAGTAGCGACCAGTTTCTCCGAGGAAAAAAAGGCCTTGAGCACCTTTCTCCATAGCCTTTTATTGGGTTGTAATACACAGGAATACAGGGCGGCAAGGATCAAACAGTAGATAACATTACAAAGAGGTCTGAGGATTTCAGTCTGAGTGAGTGTCTGTCAGGAAGAGAGTTGCAGAAACTTTGGGAGACATACTCATTTCCTCTTGGACCCTTATCATATGAATGAAAGCACTCTTAGCAGAGCAGATTTCACAGGTTTATCAGCAAGTCTTCGTGGTGCCAGATTTTCCCCCAGGGCATGCTCTAGCAAGGCAAAGAGTTGCACTTCTCCCCAACAGGTATTCAGGCTTAAGGGGATTAGAGCCAGGAAGCGCTTCTCCCAGAGTACATGGGGACTCCGGCTTTGTCAAAGCTGGGGAGCGAGAGTCCATTGCTCTTTGTTGCAGCCTCCTGAGTCCTTCCATGAAGGCCTCCCAGGTGATCGAGTCTGACTTAGGTTGCCCCCGGCTGTGAGGGGTCTTACCCGTCATTGACTTCCGACCAAGCTCTGGGGGCAGGGAGAGGAATTGAGGCAGCGTTTGCTACCAGAGACCCGCTTTGTCTCCTGCGGCTGGCATTCCAAAGGTCCTCTCTCGCCCTTAGCCGCAAGGGGTAGAGATAAATTACTAAAATCAGGCAAAGCAGTCTACTACAAGTCTCTATGTCATTTAGTTCTGCTCTGATCTTGATTATTTCCTTCCTTCTACTTGCTCTGGGCTATTTTTTGTTGTTGTTCCTAGAGTTCTTGCAGGCATAGGGTAAGGTTGTTTGTTTGAAATGTTTCTATCTTCTTTTTAGGTGGGCCTGTATTGGTATAAACTTCCCTCTCAGGACTGCCTTGGCTGTGTCCCTTAAGTTTTGGGTTGTTGTGAGTTCATTTCCTTTTCTCTCCAGAAACTTTTTGATTTCTTCCCTAATTTCATTCTTGACCCATTCATTGTTTAGTAGCATACCATTCAGTCTCCATGATTTTGGGTGCTTTGGGGTTTTTCCTTTGGGGTTGGTTTCCAATTTCAGCCCCTTGTGGTCAGAGAAGATGGTTGGTATGATTTCAATTTTCTTGAATTTTTTGAGGGTCGTTTTGTGTCCTATCATGTGGTCTATCTTTGAAAATGTCGCATGTGCATTTGAAAAGAATGTGTATTTAGCTTCTTTGGGGTGAAGGGCTCTATATATATATCAGTTAAGTCCATTTCATCTAGGGTGTTGTTTAATGCCACAATATCTTTGTTGATAATTTGTTTGGAAGATCTGTCCATTTTTGATAGTGGGGTGTTAAAATCCCCTACTATAATGTTGTTGCTGTCAATATCTTTCTTGAAGTCCTCTAAGATTTTCTTGATATATTTCGGTGCCCCTATGTTTGGTGCATATATGTTTACAATGTTAATGTCTTCTTGGTGGATTCTTCTCTTGAGTATAATGAAGCGAACTTCTTGGTCTCTCTTTATAGCCCTTTTCTTGAAGTCTATTTTGTATGATATGAGAATTGCTACCCCAGCTTTTTTTTTCTTGTCCATTTGCTTGGAAAATTTGTTTCCAGCCTTTCACTTTTAGTCTGTGATGGTCTTTTGTCCTGAGGTGGGTCTCTTGTAGGCAGCATATGTATGGGTCATGCTTTCTTATCCATGCAACTATTCTGTGTCTTTTGATTGAAGCATTTAATCCATTTACGTTTAAGGTTATTATTGATGGGTACTTATTCATTGCCATTTTTGTACCTGTGTTCCTCTCTGTCTCCCTCTTTTTCTTCCTTTCCTTAAAGCAGTCCTTTTAGTATTTCTTGTAGAACTGGTTTGTTGGAAGCATATTCTTTTCGACTTCTTTTGTCTTGGAAGCTCTTTATTTGGCCTTCTATCTTGATTGAGAGCCTTGCTGAGTAAAGTGGCCTTGGTTGTAGGCCTCTGTTTCTCATTACTTGGAATATTTCTTGCCATTCTCTTCTTGCTTGGAATGTTTCCATTGAGAAGTCAGTAGCTAACCTTATTGGGACTCCCTAGTATGTTACTTCTTTTTTCTCCCTTGCTGCCTTTAAGATTCTCTCTTTGTCTTGGAATTTTGCCATTTTGATGATGATGTGTCTTGAAGTGGGCCTTTCTGGGTTCCTCTTGATTGGGACTCTCTGTGATTCCTGGATTTGTGTGACTTTTTCTCTCATGAAATTAGGGAAATTTTCTCTCATTACTCTTTCAAATATGTTTTCTATCCCTTGTTCTTCTTCTTTTCCTTCTGGTATTCCTATTATTTGGATATTATTACGTTTCATCTTGTCTTGCATTTCTCTTAACCCCTCTTCATTCTTTCTGAGCCTCTTTTCCCTTTCCTGTTCTTTCTGCGAGATACTTTCTACTTTGTCCTCCAACTCCCTAATCCCATCTTCTGTCTTATCAACTCTATTTTTAATACTTTCTACTGTGTTCTTCAATTTGGAAATTGTATTCTTCATTTCCTCTGGGCCCTTACTAATAGTTTCCATTTCCTTTTTCATGTGGATATAGTTTGCAGTGAGATCATTGTAGCTCCCCTGTAGTTTCTGGTAGGTCCTTGTGAGCTCTTTGAACTTCGTAATAACCAGTGCTTTGAATTCAATATCTGATAGTTGTCTTGTCTCTATTTCATCTAACATTCTGAGGGTTCCTCCTTTCCTTTCATTTTGGGATTTTTTCTTTGTCTTCCCATTGTTTGTGAGACTCTTCTTTTTAGCCTCAGCTTTTTAGATTGACCTGTTTTGACTCCCTGGGTTTATGGTGTGAACTTCTGTGATGGAATGCCTGTGAAATTCAGTGGTGCATTCTCTTTCGGTTATCCTGTCATTCTCTGCTTCCACCTACTCATATATGCAGCAACTTGTGGCTTCTCTCCTACAGCAAAGTGCAATTTGTCTCTCTGACTCTACTTTTCGGAGGCTTCTTCTATGGGTCCAGCTCTCATCTTTTCGTATTTTCAAGTTGTTTGTGTCTTGTCTGGTTCCTCCATGACCATCGAGATTTCTGTTCCCTTATTTTCATATATGCTGGGCAAATGCTGGCTAGCTTGCTTCTCCTCCGCCCATAGGTTTCTCTTCCTTGTGTACAAGGAACTGGAATCTGCTCCGTCCTACTACGTCGCCATCTTGAAAAAATCATCATCCTCGTTTAGATATGTATTTATGGCCACAAGGGACCTAGATATCATTCAATCTGTCTTTTTTTTTTTTTAAGATTTTTTTATTTATTTATTTTTAGAGGGGGTAGGGAAGGAGAGAGGAAGAGAGTATCAATGTATGTTTGCCTCTTGTGGGTCAGGTCCCAGAGATACTTTATGTCCAAGCTAATCTTAAAAGTTGGGTTTATAGCCCTGGCTGGTGTTGTAAATACCGATCCTTTGGTCACAGGCCCATGCTCAATCCACTGAGCCACACAAGGCAGGCCTAAAATGATTTAGTTTAGATAAGCTCATTGTAGATGCCATCAGGCTGCTGATAGGCCATTTTGTTAAGTATTTGTTGGTGCCACTGAATGGAGACAGTCATGTGCTATCTTACCTGGTTAGTTCCCTCAGCATGACACAGTGTAACAATGGTGAGTGACCAAGTGTCCTTGTGTCCAGCAGTTTGTTCTCTCACTTGTGTAATTTACAGGATCCAGGATGACTCCAGGGCCAGACCTTTTCCAAGGCTTGTCAGTCAAAGAGAAGTTCATGCCAACTGCCCCAGTGAACACTATGACATATGTAGCCAACACAGAGTCGGAACAAGGAGCTACATGGTGAAGTTTTACTGTTAAGAAACTATCATTATAATTCTGTCAAATTAAGTCAGTGTCTTGGGAAATGAGAGAGAGAGGTACCAGAGAAAATAATGTTTTAGGACAGAGATCAGCAAACTTTTTATAAAGGACCAAACTAAATAGTTTTGGCTCTGTCACAGTTGCTGAACTCTGCGATTGTACCACGGGAGCAGCCACAACCACATGTGAATGAGTGAGAGTGGCTCTGCTCCAAAACACTTAATGTATAGAACATGTGGCAAGCCATCACTTGCCAGCCTATGTTATGATAAAGGTTTTTTTTGTTACTTGCAAATGTACACACAAGACTGTTAAGAATTATATGCTTTATTTGTGACTAATGAAATGAGTTTCAAATGAATTTGTTTGTATTATATGATGCCTGTATTTGAACGTTACTTATAATTTAGGAGATACATTATGTGTGCCTATCTGGCTAATCTGAATAATTAACACAGTGTATTTTATTTTAAATAATCTATAATGAACTGTTCATATTGAAAGATACTTGGGATATCACTATATATTACCACATTTCAGTTTTCCTATACCATGTTTTATATTGAGACCAGATATAACTTTTTAAAGAAAAACTTTCTGATGTTTTGAACGTCCCTTGAACAACAGCTTTACTTGTTTTTCTGTGAAATAGAAGTAGCAAAGACCCTATATATTCAATCATCCATTGCAGAACTTGGTGATTGTACACGTGCTTAAAATATTTTTCTGGCAGTCTAGAATTGAGTTCTGTTGTACAGACTACTTTCTTGCTGGAATATAATGACATCAGTTCATCTAAAGTGATCTGAATAGCCTGTTATATGATATTGGACATTGTTCTTTTTGTGACTTCCCATTTTTAATTAATTTTTTGCATGGAAATAATTTATAAATCTTAAACCAAACAAAATTTACGTAGGATTCTCACCTCCTTTAATTTATAATAGGACATGAGGTTGATATTCCATGTGTGCTGGGCAATGTTTCCTGGCAGAGTCTGTCTGGCAGTAAGTACGTGCTGTAGGGGTGAAGAAAAATACTCAGCGAGTGTCAATGACATATCAGCTACTTCCTTGGGAGAGTAAAACACATTGCTGAATTACCGTCTAAGTATAATTAGGTTCTAAAACTACATTACATTTATACTACTGAAAGGACTTTGGGTAAGGATTGCTATAGACTTGGTTGACTTGTATTCTTTTCTTTTGCTACAGTATGGATTTGAGTGAAAGACCAAAAGAAATCAAAATCTCCAGAATGGAACAAAAATTCAGAATGCCTTCACAAGGAACATCCACTGTAAAGGAATCCCCCAAAATAAGCCCTGATCATAATACTATAGTGTCAGATACTCTAGTGAGGATGAAAATTCCAAACTATCAGCTTTCACCAGTAAAGATCCCAGGTGTAAATAGAAGTAGAGATCGAGCTTCCTGGCAGCTGCAGACCAACTCCATCCAAAACTACTTCCAGCCATTCACCAAAAAAAGGTACATCTTCACAGCACCTTCATGGCTCTGAGAAACTAATGTTTATGTAATTGTAGAATGGTGTTTAGTCTGTGGAAAGCTGTGGCCTTTTACCTTGCTCCCTCACTATGGTCACTGGATGGACTCTCATTTTTTTCCTTCTCTGCCTTAGCTTATATGTTATTTCCTTGGCTGCACTTGTCTTTCATCTTGCCTGTTTCAACCTCTTATCACTTTCATGAGGTAGGAGCTGCTCCATCAATGTTTCTCAATTTCTAGAACTCTTAATGTTGTCTGGGTCCTTTTGTACATTCAAGAGCTCTATCTCATCTCTTAAAACCCTCCCTTGGCTCAGTTTCTTCCTATTGCTACTGCCTTTTGTCTGTTACAAACACTGTTAAAATTCTTAGAAAAGGAGATGGTCAGTTAGTACTCCCATTTCTATATGAGATATTTCTAAACCATCAGTATTTCATCTTGACGTGACACCCTAGAAAGTAACCACTGACACATCGCCAATGTGAGTGGCCTGTTGGTGGCATTCAGCTCCTGAGCCATTCTCCTCATTTGTGTGGCAATAGTCTGTCGCAGCTCTTTCCGTTTCTTACTGGCCCTTTGCTCTTTTTCTGAGGCTTCTCTCCTCCTACCACTCCTTTTTGTCCGTATAATCTACCTGCAAGGTTTCATGACATTATTACAGATGGAAAATACCTTTGGCCCTAACTCATCCTTTAAGCTTTACTTTTCCATAGGAATTTCCTGCTCTTTTCCAAATGATAGTTCTGAAACCTTTTCTTTCCTGTGACTGAACAAGTAATTCTTTTTTGTTAGGAGTTCACTTTGTCAGAATCTTTTACTCTTTCTTCTCTGCGCCCCAGTAAAGTCAGTAGTTTGATTCTTATTTTGAGTGTCTTATAAATTCCTCCCTTTCCATCTGTTTGTGTTACTACCTCTCTGGTTTAAACTCTGACTACCTCACTTACTACAAAAACCCCTTGATCAGTCTGTCCAGTACCTGACTTAGCTTAGAATTATTAAAATGTCACCTGACTTCCAGTTCAATGTGAACCCAATAAACTCCTGGAGAATAGAGACCTGAGCTTTTGTTTCCTTTGTGGGCCTTAGTACAGTTTAAATGAATGGTGTTTATTATTTATGGAATGAACAATACAGTGTTGTCTAGAAAATGCTTAGTCACTTTCTGTAGTCACATATTACTTGCTGTGTATAGCCTATAGTTTATTTTGGATTAGCCCCTCTGATTTACTCTCTTGAATCCAACTCATTAATGCATCAGGTTTTATTCTTGCCCATAAGTTCCTTACATTGTAGAGTAAGCTATTGTTTCCTGGCAGTAAGTCCTTTGTCTTTTTATATTTTTCTCCATAGTGATTTGTCAACTATTGCTACTTCAGCAAAGATAAATATCTCCATATTGTTTTAGCAGTACAGCTGGTCAGTCAGTCCTCTCAAAATAATAGAGTGTATATGAATTATGTACTGTATTCAGATGCCTTTTTAAATTTCCAGTGATACTATTAATTAATAAAACCAAAACATGGTGAATTAAATGTAGGAGGGGTGAATATTGCCAAAGTCTTAAATTACTTATCTGTGTTCATTGTCTGTGTTTGTTTTTTCCTCTTCTTTTTTATATTTAAGGGAAAGGGATGAAGAAAATAAAGAAATGCCATCTAAATCAGCAAAAATGGAAATGTCTTGTACTCTTCTAGAACAAACACAACCTGCTACGTGGAGAAATGAGGAGCAGCATCTATATCAGAATGAGCCAGTGGGGGAAAAAACAGATAACTTATTTACAGATGTGGATTCAAAATCCACTGTGAAAAATTCTGCCAATAAATCTCTTTCTACAGAAAAACGAGGATCAGAAAAAAGGAAAATTGATGATGTAGCCGTAGAAAATGAAGTATTTGAAGAGGTATTTAAGAACACAAAATTAGAGTTAGAAATTGAAGTGAAAACTCAAAAACAAAAGGAAGATGTCAAAATTAGAAAAATGCCAAGATTGGACATAGAAACAAATGGCCCTTTTAAGGATGAAACAATACCAGAAAGTAACAAAATATCTGTAAGTAACATTTTTTAAAGATTTCATTTATTTATTTATAGAGGGGAAGGAAGGTAGAAAGAGAGGGAGAGAAACATCGATGTGTGAGAGAGAAATCTATCAGTTATACCTTGCACACCCCACACTGAGGACCTGCCCCGCAACCCAGGCATGTGCCCTGACTCTGGAATGGAACTTGTGACCTTTCAGATCGCAAGCCAGCACTCAGTCCACTGAGCCATACCAGCCAGGGCTGTAAGTAACATTTTTTGATGAAAAGTATTGCAAAGAGAAACTTAGAAGGTTAAAAAGTATTTAGATATTTGTATGACAGTATGAGTATCTGTTGTTTCCTTGGAATAAAATTATTCTTTAACACCGAGTATTAAGCGTAAGAATTTGTGGGTTGATAAGGTAAATGTCAAAAATAAAATGATTCTTTGACATTATATAATAAATGACAGGAAATAAAAACTGTTATTCATGATTGTTTAGTAGATTTCCAGGCTGCACTATAGTATCACACATTTGTCCATGAATGTAAGTATAGGTGATGCCTTAACAGAGGAAATAAAGGCAGAAAAATGAAGAAAGTTAGTGAAACTATAGGTGATGCCTTAACAGAGGAAATAAAGGCAGAAAAATGAAGAAAGTTAGTGAAACTAAGTATCTACTAAATAAATCTTTAGGAAAAATCATGTATAACATCAGCAGGAAGTTTTTTCATTTTTGACCTTTAATGTCCTATCTTATTTTCTTGTATGTTGATAATTGTTTTGCCCACTTAGGTCTAAGAAGCTCTTTATATTACTTCCTATTTTATACATCAGTAAGTAGCCTACTACCTGGTAAGAGCACAGATTTTATGAAATAAAAATGTAATATCTGGCCTCCGCTCTCATTAATGGTCATGTGTGGTCATCCCCTCCTATAACTCAGTACACCCAGTTTTCTTCCCAGAAAAAGTTCCCTTATTGTATTAATTAGAATTCCTTTGTGATCTTTAAAATTCTAAAATCGGTGGCTTAAATAAGATAGTTAATTTTTTCCTATAAAAGAAGCCCAGAGTAGGTAAGGAAAGCTGCTTGGCAGTCTCATGCCTTTAATTTGCTGGCAGTCTGCCTTCTTTCTCTGCAAGATGGAACCTCCAGTGTCACACTGATTTTCCACAGAGGAAGCATGGTGCAGAGAGGATAAGGTGAAGGCCTTTCCACTTCTTTCTCCCCACTTTCTAAGGAGCTTCCTCAGACTCTACTTGATAATTTGGTTTATTGGCTGGATTTTAGTCATGATCTGCACCACTCCCCATCTAGGAAATGCTTTAAGCTTGGCACATTGCTGTCCCTAATCAACTCATCATTATAAGGAAGAAAGAGAATGGATACTAAGATACCCTATAGTTGGATTGAGAACTTCAGAGACAGAGGGCTCTTTTATTATCAAAGATTGAAGATTACTTGTCAGTTTATGACGAAATTAATCAAACCAAGTGGTTTAAATATCCTGTAGGTCAGTTGTGTAGCAAATGCCACTACAGTGGAGAGCTAGGTAAGTTAGCTTAATGTGGTGTGTCGTAAAATCCAAGGAATGATTACCTAACCAAGTTTAATAAAATTATGTCTCCATAAAGATATGTTTATTCTACATCAGTTGTGAATTTACATTGTCATGTTAGCTCTAGCCTAGCTCTAGCCTGTTCCAAAACCTGTGTCCAGGCCTCTTAATGTAAATCTTCAGTCCTTATTTTTTTTAATATTTTTTCGTTAACATTTATCCCCCTTTATATCCCCTCCACTGTTGTCCCTGTGCCCACACTGTTGTCCATGTCCATGATTCCTCTTGCCTCTTTACTCAGTCTCTCTACCTCCTAACTGGCCCCTCCAACCAAGCTATAAGCCTGCTCTCTATGCATCTGTCTCTATTTTGCTTGTTAGTTCAGTTTGTTCATTAGGTCCACATATGAGTGATATCATGTGGTGTTTGTCTTTCTCTAACTGGTTTATTTCACTTAGCATAATGTTCTCCAGATCCATTCATGCTGTTACAAAGGGTAAATTTTCTTCTTTTTTACAGCTGAGTAGTATTCCATTGTATAAATGTCCCATAGTTGTTTTATTCACTCGTCTGCTGACACTTGGTCTGCTTCCATGTCATGTCTTGGTTACTGTAAATAATGCTGCAGTGAACATAAGGGTGCTTATATTTTTTTGAGTTAATGTTGAGGGTTTCTTTGGATAAATTCCCAGAGGTGGAATCACAGAGTCATAAGGCAGTTCCATTTTTAATTTTTTGAAATATCTCCATATTGCTTTCCACTGCACTAGTCTACATTCCCACAAACAGCACAAAAGGGTTCTCCTTTCTCCACATCCTCACCAGCAATGATTTGTTGATTTATTGATGACAGCCATTCTGACCAGGACGAGTTGGTATCTCATTGTGGTTTTAATTTACATTTTTCTTAGTGATGTTGCTCATAGCAATATTTTTTGTGACATGTCTCCTCTGGCAAGGGAAACAAAAGAAAAAATAAATGAATGGGACTACATCAAACTAAAAAGGTTTTGCATGGCAAAGGAAACCAACAACAAAATAAAAAGACAATCCACTGAATGGGAGGACGTATTCACAGATACATCTGATAAGAGTTTAATGTCCAAAATTTATAAAGAATTTATAAAACTCAACACCAAAAAAACATGCAATCCAATTAAAAAATGGGCAAAGGACCTGAATAGACAGTTCTCCACAGAGGACATACTGATGGCCAGTAGACATATGAAAAGATGCTCAATGTCAATAAGTGTTTGGTCTTTAGAAAGTTAGGCCCCAGTTACATTAATGTGGCCATACATTAGAAAATGTGTTTGCCTGATGGTACTCTCTCCTCCTGTATTTATTTTGATTTTCTCTGATATGTTTTTATTTTCTTTATTTCATCATCTTGTCCTACTGCGTGTCATTTTTTTTTAATAGCCTTTTTTTTTCTTTTCTTTCAGTTCTCTCCCAGATTGGTCCACTGCTCACAGTGGCCACAGCTCTGTCTAGAAATGGTCCTGGTTTTAGTCACAGAATTCTTTGGTCTATCCTGTATGGCTGCTGGTTAATCTTCCTAAATATCTGCTTTGCACATTCTCCCAGGACTCATGTCACTAAGGAAATGAGCATTAGAGCCCAGACTTGGAGAGACAAGAAGTGCACACCATACCACACTGATATGGGACCCCTTAGAAAAGGCTTTTGTGGGCCTGAAAAGATCTTCCATTTTAAATGCCGAGGTTTACATGCTATGTAATGTTATCAGGGAATATTATTTTATTTGCTTTGTGATTCTGTAGCATAATTTCCTTTGTCTTTATTTTATTGGGTTTCAGAATTCATGACATTCTGAATAAAAATACAGTACAAAATAAATAGGTTGTGTAGAGTTTTGGAGAGTGAATAGCAATTTGAGCCACATGTTTGGATAGTCTAAAAGTTAAAATACTGTATTGTAGCACTGTAATTTTTTAGTGAAAATTTTGCTACCTTATGCTGAAAGTAAAAATACTTTTGTAATTTTTAAAAATTTTATTTTGAGGTAATTGTTTATACATATGTTGTTGCAAGGGACTATATATAGAGATTCCATATACTTTTCACCCCATTTAACTGTAACATCTTGCATAGCTAGACTGTGTCAGGGAGTTGACATGGGTACAATTCATCAACCTTATTCAGGCAATGTGAAGTCATTTTGAATTCTTTCACTTTGTTATTAATAATTTAAAATGTCTGAAAGTACTTGTGAGTGCTCATCGATTAAAGGAATTGCACCTAATGTTTCTAGCTATAGACATGGTTATCAGGAACATTGTATATTAATTTTTTCATTTAAAAAACTGCAGTTTTAAGAAGGCAAAAAATGTTATACTTCTCATTGACCTTGGATTCTTTAGTTACATTTCAGAAAGGCAATTTCTAAAGTATGTTGATGGAAGAACTGCCATTTTCCTATTTGGGGATTTAAACAGAGATTCTATCACGTGTGTTTGAATTTCTGTAAGCTGAACTAGAAAGCTATTGGCCAGATACTCCTCCTAACAGTTTATCCTGCTATAAGTGGTAGATGTGCCTGAGTCTGGGCCTTACTTTCAGTCTTCCAGCCTCCTTAAAATACAAACATGACTTGGCATCCTTGTAAACATTATTCCTCTTCGTAATAGCACCTACTGTCTATACAACATCTCTCCTTAACCTCATTCCACCTCCAATTCTAAATTAAACTTTTTTTCTGTCTAATAACTATAGCATCTTCCAAAGCCCAGTGCAATAGCTACCACTCACTGGACACCATCATTTGTTTACAGCAGTCCTGCAATGAAGCATACTGTATGGGTTGAAGAGATTAGGAAACTGACAGACACTAGGAGTTGTTAAGTAATTTGCTGTGGTCACATAGCTAGGTTTTGATAACGGTACAAAACACAGGTCTACCCTGCTGGGACAAGTCCTAGAGTCTGGGTAGGGTATAGTATGATTCTCTGAGATAGGAAATACAAACTTGTTTAAGGGAATTTTGAAGGAGCGAGGCAGGATGGGGAGAGAAGGTGTGGGGAAGTAATTTGTTCTCCTTACGGAAACAGCTTCCAATGGGAGATGCGTGTGATAATACTCAGTAAAAGGGCGCATAGTAGGCTTGGAATATAAATCTTAATCTCACTATTGATAGACATTAATACACTTCAGTCCCTAAGCAAGCGCAAAGTACATTTGTGTTTCTGCCCTTTTCTGTGCAATTTATTAAAGTTTTTTTTCTATAGTTTTGTGAGGAGGCGAAGTGTATTCAGTCTACACCTCCATCTTGACTGGAAGCCCTGTAGGAAAGACACTTGAAAGTCAAATTACTCTCCAAGAGCACAAATATCTGTGAGGTTTTCCGAAAGTTGCCATTTTATAATTCCTTTGAACAATATTTTTTCTTTAGCCAAAAAAGGAAATTGGGAAGAAACACGAGATTGAGAAAGAATTACTGTGGTCAACTAAAGAAGACTCATTGGTGAGGAAATTTTAAATTTAATTTTTATAAAGGTTTAAGTTATAAACCATCATCTTCTCAGTTTCTATCAGTGTTCTTACTGAGGATTATTTCTCTTTCTATATTTTGGTCTCATAATTTTGCTTTCTTGGGAATTGGATAGGTCATATTATAACCATGACAGACTAAAAAGAATATAGAGAAAAGGCCAGGTATAATTCCCTGCCCACTATTCCATATATAAGTGACCTCGAACAAGTTATTTTCACATGATGAGCCTCAAGTCTTTTGTTTATAAAATAAAGTTGACACTTATCCAACAAGGTTTTTGTTTCTATCAAGTAGAGTAATGGATGTGAAAATTTTCTAAACTCTAAAACAGTACAAAAGCATGAGGCCATTGTAATTCTGTTAAGAGTTTCTCATTACATTCTGTCACTATCTGATGAACCTTTTCTTTTGACTTCTTTTTTCTTCTTTCCCTGTCTTTATCTTAGTCCCATTAGCAACATCCCTCTGGAAATACATAAAGCAACTTGAAAAACTAAGGTTGTCAGCCTGAGCAGTTATAATAATGTTGATGCGCAACCATTAGTTAATAACAAATGATGTAAAGAATCTCAATCTGCTACAGGAAGTAATCTTCAGGGTGATTTAATAATGGTACAGAATGAAACATGGCTTTCAGTAAAAAAAAAAAAAAAAATAGTGTGTCCAGAATTAATTACTGATTTTTCTGAGGTGTCAAAAATAATTTAAAAATACAAATTATTGAAAGTCCAAGAAAGTTTAAATATAAGAATGTGTGGAATGAGTTGTATAATAATCTTGGAGTACTTTTTTATCCTTGCCCAGGGATATGGTTATTGGTTTTTAAAGAGAGAGGAAGAGGGAGAGGGGGAATATCAATGAGAAAGAGAAACACCAATCAGGTTACCTTCTGTATGTGCTCCCATCAGGGTACTAACCTACAGTCTGGGTATGTGCTCTGATGGGGAGTCAAACTTGCAACCTTTTGGTGTATGTGATAATGCTCTAACCAACTGAGTCACCCAGCCAGGGCTGAAGTAGTTTTAATGAGAAGCAGACAGTTCTGAGATTTCTTGCCAAGAAAATATATACAAGAAGATAAATTGTTTATTGAATAAAGTAGGTACTAATTTAAAAATAATTTAATATGGTTTTAGCCTGTCATAGATTAGTATATTATAAATGTTTCTAAAGTTCTCAAGTACTTGAATAAACATTTTTTCTGGTTTTGAAATAGATATGATTTGATTCCAAATACAAAGTCCTGATGCCCAAAATAAACCTTTTTAACTTTTTTTTCAGATATTTTGCCTGTGTTTCTGTAGACTTTTAAATAAGTAATTTTACTTTTTCTTCTTATTTCTTCTTATCCATCCATCTTACCCCCATTAAGAACAATGACAGGCTTCAGTATGAGGATGAGATGCCTCGAGAGAAGATGTTACTGACTGAATTTAGATCACTGGTGGTTAGTAACTCTGCCTCCAGAAATGTACCCAGTGTAAATGATGATTGTGGTCAACTAAAGAATTTCAAAAAATTCAGAAAGGTATGTATTTCTTTAATTAAAATATCACAAGAAGTCAGTGTTCAAAATACCACTGATGCTAACCAGTAATAAAAGCAATTCATGTTGAAAACTGATGCTGTTTCTTCTGCTTAAAACAGTTAAAACATGAACTAACAGTTACTATATGGAACACCTGGAATGAAATAAACTTCATTAAGACTGAATTCTTGCCGTAGCTGGTGTAGCTCAGTAGATTGCTCACGGGCCTGTGAACCAGATGACCACAGTTTGATTCCCAGTCAGGGCATATGCCTGGGTTGCAGGCCAGTTCCCAGCGGGGGACACATGACAGGCAACCATACATTGATATTTCTCTCCCTCTCTCCTTCCCCTCTAAAAAATAAATGAATAAAATCTTAAAAAAAAAAAAGAAAGACCGAATTCTTTAAAGTGTGCGTTTACCTGGTTTTCCCACTGTAATCAGCATATTGATAGGGTCCTCTGACTTCTAATACTAATCCGAGACTATCTGAAGAGGTACTTTAACTCAGGACTTTATAAAGATAACAGATTTGTTGCCCTGGCTTGTGTAGCTCAGTGGATTGAGCTTGGGCCTGCGAAGCAAAGGGTCAAGGGTTCGATTCTGAGTCAGGGCACATGCCTGGGTTGTGGGCCAGGTCCCCAGTTGGGGCCATGTGAGGGGCAACTACACATTGATATTTCTGTCCCTCCTGCCCTCCCTTCCCCTCTCTTTAAAAAAATAAAATCTTTTTTTAAAAAAAGATAACAGATTTGTTAAAATAATAGAGCACATTCAATAAGAAAACTAGGCATTTTATTACTAATGTATACTATAAAATAAAATATGAATTTGTACACTGAATACTACCATCTGACCAGAGTCCCTGCTCTTTAGGAACTGATAAGGTTATTATTTTATCACTGTTCTTAAAAGAATATGTCTGATTTAGTCTATATTCTTTTGTTGTCTATTCTGGGAAAGTTTCTTCTATATAAACCTACTACTGACTGTTAGCTTTTGCTTATGCATTTGGTGAGAATACAGTAGTAATATTTTTAAAAGCAGTTTCTGTGGGCACAACTTTTCTCTAGAATGCAATCTGTATGATTCTTGTTACAGCTGTGAGGTGTGGGAGCTTTTTCTCTCTTAATGTTAGCTACTATTAATATTTCTCAGTTAAATTAGTTTTCTGCCTACTATGGCAGGCTCTAAACAAGGTTCTAAACTCCATTTAAGAGGAAGAGTCTCTTCTACTTAGAGTAGAAGATGGAAGTATCTCCATCACATGACTCACTTCCCCTTCCCCACCCTCAGCCCTGGCTCATGAAGAGCACAGGAGCATTCTTATCTCATGCTTATTACTTCATGTTCAGTATCCTATTACAAAATCTCATTGTTAAATCAAAATCCAAAATGCGTACCTTTGTTTTTTTTACTAAGTTACTAAAGGTAAAACAAAAATATTCACTGTTGGCACAGGAGTGGTGAAGAGATATAAAGCAGTACACTGCTGTAAAGTAGTTTGGAAAAACCTAAAATGCTTAAAAATGTTAATATCATGAGAAGGAATTTTTTTGAGAGGAAAAAATTCAACCCAAAATTTGTAGGAAAAGGTTAATTACCTATAGTGAAAGAATTTGAATTTTTTTAATACACCCAAATCAATGACATGGCTATATTTGTACTTTTAAAATACTGCTTAATGATTAAACAAATTTAACATTCCCTTTCCAGTTTCTATTTTAAAAGTATGTTGCATAAATATTAAGGATGTATTACTTACTCCCTAAATACAATATTACCAGTTTGCTTATTATGCATTTTCACATATTTTTAAGTACTTTTTTAATTTGTAAGCAATAAAATTTCAATTAAAAGTATGAACTGTTGACATTTCAAATATCTCTTGCTAGGCATGTATAAATTAGGAAGTTTGGATACTTGGATATTCACAAGTCCTAGAAACAACATTGGCTTTGATACCTTTAGAACACAGAATACAACAAACAAAAAGTGCTGGCGAGGATGTGGAGAAAAAGGAACCCTAGTATACTGTTGGTGGGAAAGCAGACTGAGGTAGCCACTTTGGAACACAGTATGGAATCTCCTCAAAAAACTAAAGATGGAACCACCGTTTGATCCATGATCCCACTGCTGGGATTATACACTAAGAATACTGAAACACTAATTCAAAAGAACCTGTGTACTCTGGTATTCATAGCAGCATTATTACCTGTAGTATTACATATAGCAGTATATTGTAACAGCCAAGTGCTGGAAACAGTGCTCAGCAGTAAATGAGTGGATCAAAAAACTGGAACATTTACACAATGGAATAGTGTGCAGCACAAAGAAAGAAGGAACTCATCTTTCCTGACAGCATGGATGGAACTGGAGAGCATTATGTTAAGTGAAATAAGCCAGATGGGGAAAGACAAATACCATATAATCTCACCTATAAGTGGAATCTAATGAACAAACAAATGAGCAAAATAGAACCAGAGAAATGGAAACAGGAACAAACTGACACTGACCAGAGAAGATAGGGGAGAGGGATAACTGGGGGAAAGAAGGTTCCAGTCAAGGAACATGTATAAAGGACCCATGGTAATGGGAAATGGGTGGGGATTGACTAAAGGAATGGAGGTATGGGCAAGGCAGGGGAGAGCAATGGGAAATACTGGGACAACTAATTGAACAACAACAAAAAGTAAATTAAAAAGTAATACTTTAAATTACAGTGTGTGTATTCACCTTGGGTTGCTTTAATTTTTATATGGTGAGCTAAGGTCATTTTTTAAATAAAACCTCGAAATTCAAAATCTTAAATTCTCTTAGTACATAAATCCTATTTATATGTCTAAATCTGAGTATAATAATAGGGCAAAAACATGATTAGCACTTACCACTGTTTTATGCACTGTCAGTTATAGGATATATACATCTTTGATTTACACATGATTTACAATCCTTGCTTTTTTAAAAGCTTTTAAAAAATGATTGCCTTAATTTGTTAATGTATTTAATCTTACTATTTAACTATTTAACAGGTCACATTTCCTGGAGCAGGAAAATTTCCACAAATCATTGGAGGATCAGATCTAATAGCTCATCATGCCCGAAAGAATACAGAATTAGAAGAGTGGTTAAGACAGGAAATGGAGGTTAGTAGAAAGTAAGGCCTGGTAAAATGTTTTGATTTGTATTTTGATCCTTTCTGGTTTCCTTAGAATAAATTCTTAAAACTGAGGTTGGTTATTCAGGAAAATTCCTGAGTTACTGAGCATTAAGATTAATTGATAACTTTCTATAACACTGCTTTAAGGGACTTCTAGATTTACTTGTTTAAAAATGAGACCTAAACAGTGACTTAAGTTTATATCCTCATGTAAAGGAAAAAAAGAGACTTAACCCACAAAAATTCAAAAGAAAACTAAAGGATAACAATGAAAAGAATGATCATATGGAGGGATAGCTATTAGAAATACATCAATATAGTGGGAAAGACTGGGCTTCTTAAATCTGTGAATTGTCTTTTAACAGTTCTAAAGATTTCTCATTTCTTGGATACTACCTTTTTCCTGTTTCCTCTAATATTTCTTTTCTGTGTTTCTTAAAGGAATCCTCATACTGTTTTCAGTAGTGGCTATACCATTTTACATACCCATGAACAGTGAGTGCATAAGGATTCTAATTTCTGCACATTCTCCCCATCACTTGTTATTTTCTGGCTTTTTGCTAGTAACCATCTTAATGGTTGTGAGGTAGTATCTCATTTGATTATGCATTTCCCTAAGGATTAATGATGTTGAGCATATTCTTGTATGCTTGTTGGACATCTGTACATCATCTTTTGAGAAATGTCTATTCAAATCTTTTCCATTTTTAATCAGATTTTTAATCTTTTGTTCTAGGAGTTCTTTATATATTCTGTATATTCACCCCTTTTCAGATACATGACTTGCTCATACTTTCTTCCTATATCTGGGTTGCTTTTTCATTGTGTACTTTGGTACACAGAAGTCTTAAATTTTGATGTAGTCCAGTTTATCTGGGCTTTTTTTGTTTTGTTTTGTTACCTGTGTTTTTGGTGTTATATTCAAGTAATTATTGCTGAATCCAATGTGAGGAAGCTTTCCCCCTGTGTTTTCTTCTAAGAGTGTTTTAGTTTTAGCTCTTACATTTAGATCCTTGATCCACTTTGAGATAATTTTTATATTTAGTGTTAGGATAGGTCTAATTTCATTCTCTGTTGTTACACTTTTACACTTTGGTTTAATGATACATGAGCACAGCATCTTGAAGGTGGGGAGGGCTTTAAAGTCAGTTATACTGTTGAAAGCTGCTTGCTGAGAGAAACTTGCCTTAATGCCCTCTTTCATGGGCAGTCGTTATCTATCTCATTTTTCCCCAAAGACTCATTTCTAACTTTTGAAATGGTAAAAGAAATCATTAGATAATATTAATAATTGAGGAGTAGTGATTTGTAATATTTAGTTTAGGTTCTTAAACATTTTGTTATGAAAAGTTTTCAAATACACACCAAGTAAAGATAATTGTGAAACACCCCCTCAGCACAGAGCTTCAACAACATCAGCACTGTGCCCATCTTGCTTTATCTACTCCCTTTCCAAACTTCTTTTATAATTTTTAAAATTTGTTTCTGTTTTAATCATTTTTATTGTTATTCTATTACAGTTGCCTCAATTTATCCCCTTTGCCCTCCTCTGCCCATCCCACACCACCACCCCACAGTCAATTTAATAAGCAAAATAAACTAACAAACAAAGTAGAACCACAGTCATGGAAATATGGAGCAGATTGAAAGTGACCAGAGAGGAGGGGAGGAGAACAGTGGTGGAAGAAGGGGAAGGAACTAGACAAAGAACAAGCATGAATGATCCACAATCAAACTTCTTTTCTTTCTGGAGTATTTTCAAGCAAATCCCAATCATTTTATCATCTTGCTCATATTTATATGCTTAATGCAAGCATACAGATTCCTGATCAAATACATGTTTTTCTATGTACTTTATACCTGTATAATCAATTCATATTGTTTTAAACCCTACATGTAGGACCAGCAGCATGATTTTGATATTTGAAATTGCTTTAGAGTTCTTTAATGTTGCATATTTACTTTTTTGCTTGGTAATTTCTTCACATTGCCTTACAGTATAGTATTTACATTATTTCATCCATTTGTCATGTTTTCATTTAACATATATTTTTTTATTTTGGGGAGTCTGTTCTATTCATGTCTAAATCTTCTTTGTTCCTTGCTACTGTTTTTAAGCTTCCCTATTTTGTATTCTTTGCCTGATGATACCAATACCTAAAGTATTTGTCTTCTGTTTCTGCTAGTTCTCTCCCATGTTGCCTTGTTTCCTAGTATATTTTTTGTGATGTTTGAGTGTGCACCCTTATTTTTCTTGGAACTTGATCTGTGGGAATTCCTTGTGTCCTGAGTTCAGGCTTATTTCCTCCAGAGAAGATGTGTTTGTGTCTGTCAGTCTTGTTCTACCAATATGAGACCACATTAATCTCTCCTGTGACTTTTTTGGATCACCCAAGTAGATAATGTGTATTTGAGCTAGAAGCCAGAGTCAAGGCCAGCTTGTCTTTATAAACTACGTGATATTTTTTCCCCCTTTACCCTGTGCCAGGGTTCAGGACAGGCCATTTGTTTTGCCTTTTGTGATGCAGAGTTTATCCCTCTTTCACCCTTTAGTGTTGATGTCTTATTAGATTCCCTATCTGGATTTTCTTTCATGTCACTCATTCCCATACAGACATCAGAGCAGAGCTTTGGTTTTTTAAGGTTTGCAGGTACCACAGTGCTGGGCAAAAGCTGGCTGTGCTACATAACCTCTCAGTCAGGGATTGGTATTTTGCTTTATTGCAGACTTAATGTAGTCTTCAGCAAATTGTTTTTTAAAGTGCTTTTATAATAAAAAAATACTAGGAAGGTCACTCAGGATATTCACTATCAAAAAAGGAAGAATAGAATCACATCTTTTTTAAAAAAGAATAATTAGCTTTATTATTTTATAAATGTGCATTTCAAAGCATCATGTTAGTACACAAAAGAATGAAGAAGCTAAAATCCTACAGCCCCAAATCCCACATTTCATGATTAAGTTGATAATACGCAGCCATCTCTTTACTGAGGAACTAATAGGGGAGAGAGTGGTGGGGGTGAGAGGAGTGGCAGGAGGAAGTAGAACTGGAAGCCCTGCTGCCTTTGTGTCCTTACTCCTTCCTAGGGTGGTTCATTTCCTAAGAGCCCTCTAACACTAATGACCTCTTTGGGTCCAACTTCTTTGGGACTCTGAGCTTCCTGAATTTGCTGTAAGTCTATTTCCTTTGCCAGGTTGGGGAAGTTCTCCCTCATTATGTTTTCAAATTCCTCTTCTCCGTCTAGCACACCTATGATTCAGATATTGGAATGTTTGAAGTTGTCCGGGAGATTCCTAAGCCTCTCCTCATTTTTTTGAATTCTTGTTTCTTCATTCTGTTCTGGTTGAATGTTTATTTTTCCCTTCTGCTCCAAATCATTCATTTGAGTCCTCGTTTCCTTTCCTTCACTGTTGGTTCCCTGTACATTTTCCTTTATTTCACTTTTCACAGCATTCACTTTTTCCTCTATTTTATGACCATGCTCAACCATTTCTGTGAGCATCCTGATTACCAATGTTTTGAACTCTGCATCTGGTATGTCGGCTATCTCTTTGTCACTTAGTCTTATTTTTTCTGGAGCTTTGATGTAGTCTTTCACTTGGGCCATGTTTCTTTGTCTGGGTGTGCCTGTTATGTAGTAAAGGGCAGAGTCTTAGGTATTCACCAGGGCAGGGCAACCCACATCACTGTGTTGTGGCACTGTATGTTGGGGAAGGGTCAGAGAGGGAACAGTACTGCTTGCTCAGCTCTTGGCTGGCTTTCAGTCTCTTGCTCTGCTACCCACAAGCAAATTGGGCCCTTCTGTTGCTGATTCCCAGGTGGCTGGGTTTGGGTATGTTCTAGGATCCTGTGGATCTCTCCAGTGAACTCTCCTATGAGGCTGGGAGTTTCTCCCACCACTGCAACCCCCATAGGTTTTTTCAGTCAGAGGTGTTGAGGCTTTATTTCCCTGAGCTAGAACCCTGGGTTGTGCAATCTGTCTCGCTTCCCAGTTGTTCCTCCTGGTTTATCCACATACAAATATGGGACCTCCTGCTTCGCCAGCTGCCTCATCCAGTCCACCAGCTGCTGCCTTGCTCACCCTGGTCCTCCAGCCACCACCTTGCTGGGAGTCCTCTCTACCCTGGCTGCCCATCTCTGCCCCACTTACCAGTGCGGATGAATGTTTCTTCTTTAATTCCTTGGTTGTCAGACTGCCATACAGTTCAGTTTTTTGGCATTTCTGGTTATTTTTTGTTTTAAATTTTGTGTTGTCCTCCTTTTGGTTGTGTGAAGAGGCAAAGTATATCTACCTCTCTGCCTCCTTCTTGGCCAGAAGTCTGATGCAGTCTTTTCTATTTTAAGAAACTTTTGCTGCATCTTTAAAAACATTTTTATATTTGTTGGGTTCTCTACATTTAAGACCCAGTGACCCTTTTATTAGCATGTTGGCCCTCCAGACTTATTTCTTCTGTATTCGTTGTGATTTTTCTAAGCTGTGTCAGAAATTCAGAGTTGTGTCTGTGCTGTTCCTCGCCAGCAGCTATGTGAGCTTGTGACCTTGAGAAAATTACTAATTCATGTCTCCATTTCATAGCACCTCTGCTCCATAGATTTTCTGTGAAGATTAAATAAGGTACTATGTATAAAGCATTTATAACAGCAGAAACAGTCAATGTTAGCTCTTTCCAACTTATTTAATTCTGAAATGTGTTTATGTAGCATGTTTCCTTTTCATTTCAGTGTGATTTTTTAATCATCTCTGACTTTTCTTATTTTATTGCTTTTATAGTCTTACTCATTTGTTTATTTTTTATTCTTGAATTATTGTTTCTTGCAGACTAGGTTCTTCTTCTCTCTCAAGTTCTGTTATAATCTCCTTTTTCCCCATCTGGTATGCTGAGTGGCTTCACTGTTTTCTTTTGTCTTGTAGCTGTTTAAAGTGACCTGTCCAGAAATTTATTTGCTATGCAAAGTGGTGTGTGCCATTTTATTTAGGGATTGC